TGATGTTTGATGTTTGCACATGTGGGTCTGATTGATTTCACTTAGGAGTATGTTCTCTAGTTGCATCCATTTACTGATGACATACTCAAATCTATCTAGTTTTATAGCTGGATAATACTACATTGTGTAAAAACACCCAATCTTTTTTATCCATTCCTCAATTGATGGGCATCTGGGTTGTTTCCAGGATTTAGCTATGACAAATTGTGCTGTTCTAAACATGGGTGCACATATATCACCATGGTATGAGGTTTTTAGTTCTTTGGGAAAATGCCCATGAGGAGAATAGGTAGCTTGAATGGAGCCTCCAGTCCTAGCTTTTTAAGGAATCTCCACTTGGTGCACTCCCACCAACAGTACAGAAGGGTTGTTTTAATTTGCATTTCTGAAATGACCAATGATGTTGAACATTTTTTCATATATTTACTTTCCATTTGTATTTCTTCCTCTGACAAGTGTATATATCAGTCCTCTTCCTTCCTTCCTCTTTGATCACCATCTTTTTCTTATTCTCAAGTTAATTTAACTCTAAGGACTCAGAGCAATGATGATTCTAGGACATCTTAGTAGATATTCATAAGTAAAAATGTTACAATCCCACACACTTTCATTTTTATGATTTAATTCTGATTTTTGACTCAGTGTATGAGTTATGTGTTATTTTGATGTTGATTTTAGATTACAAAATAAAGGATAATACATGGAATGGAAAAGATGAGGCTGGCCAACAGAACTGAAGGGAGTGCAAAAGTGGTGCTCGAGTCCATGCTGCAAATGAGCATCCTTGGGCTCATGGCTCTGTTATTCCCACATTCTTGTATGACTAATTTTGGTTTTGAGCACCAACAAAACAAAACAAAGCAAAGGGAAGTCCTCTTAATTTCTGGTAGTTGTGTTCCAGTGATTTTTGAGCCCACCAGAAGAAATAATATACATTTTGCGCTCAGAAATTGTGGAAGCTCAGTCCAGATCTACAATGGAAGCTCTGCTAGATTGAAGCTATCTACATGTGTCCACTAGTACAGGGTTAAATCTCTTGGGGCCTCAGCTGCCTCAGTTAGAAGTGATGACTCTTTCATCGTGACTTTGGAAAGGCCATGGGCTTTGTGTGAGTGAATTTAGTTCATCTGGGTCAGCTGGAGGAGTCTATTCCCTTCTCGTTGCTGGGCAGATGTGACCCTCTCAGGTCCCCCCTGCGTACAATACCCCGGAACTATTGTATACATATAGTGTTGTTGAAGAAGAAAACAACCTAATGATGAGAGAGTGTTTCATAAATTTTTAAAGAGTGTCAGAGCTTTATGATGACATCAGTTTTTGAGCTTATGCTTCCTTTATCCTTTATAAAACTCAGCAAACACAGATGCCAGGTCACCATCTGAGGGCTTGTCCCTGGTTTCGAGGACTCAGATACTCAGTGGATTCATTTTAGATTTCCTCTCACAGGAATATTTATTCCAGGTCTCCAAGAAGCAGCCAGTTGGCTTTTCTGTTGCCTCGTGGTTGGAGGAGGGGTGGCCTGAGATGTACCTTTTTCCCGAGGCAGGGCATGGGAAAAGGGAGAGGATACTTTATCAAGTACAGATTGGGGTTGCCCTAGTTACTTTTATCATCACTGAGACAAAATACCTGACACCCAAAGCAAAAGGGGTAAAGGTTATTTGGCTCACAGTTTGTAGAGGTTTCAGTTGATGGTCAGCTTGCTCCAAGGCAGGGTGGCTTGGCAGCCAGGCATCATAGAAGAAAAGCATTCATGGTGCCCACAGGTAGCAAGGCAACAAGGCAGGACGGAGGCACGCCTTTTTGGTTCCTTACATTGTGCCTAGTCTATTGGGATTAGGGTGACACCAATCCAATCAATACTGATTTACTAATCACACACCCTTAATCCCAGCATCACACACTGTAGATTCAGTCACCTCTGAAGAAGCCCAATGAGTGCACGAAATCTTGAGGGGACATCCAGACACAAGCCATAATAGGGGTCTAGTTGTGATTATTAACTGTTGCTTGGCTCACCTATGTGTTCAGATGATTATTTTTTTGGCTTGTTCTTTACTCCTGCTGTGCCTCTTGCCAGGGAATCTGCTTTTCACTGCTTCTGGAATCTGCTGCCCTCTCTGGGACTCTTCTTTCTATTGGTTCTAGAATCTGTCTTCTGTCCCTTCTGGAATCTTCTATAATACCTGTCTTCAACTACTGACACAACGTGTACTTTCATTTCCATGTATCCCATAGCACTATTAATAAGACTTGTAGAGTCCTATCTATCTTACCTTCGCTAAATTGCAAAATCCTTGAAGCAAAGATTTCAGTGACCTTCCATGTAGGCCTCGGTGTGCCTGGATCCAAACTCTGACTCCTCTACTTCTAACCACGCAGCCTGGATCAGGCTACTGAGCCTTCCTGGGTCTCCTTTCCTTATTTGTCCATTGGGAGTGGATAACAACAGGACCTACATGACAGGATTTCCATGACAGTTAAGGAAAAAGTCCCCATGGAAAATTCTTAGGAGAGTTCTGGAACAGTAAGCTCCAAATATCCTCTATTGGTGTCCTCAGTACCTAAAGCTGGTGCACATTTCTGGATCAAGTAGGAACTGGATTTCCTGAGATGTCCTGGAGGGATCAGCCAGAGGAGGTCTGATCTGGGATGCTCAGAGTCCTGGGTCTGGTGCACTCTAAGATCACTCACTCCTAGGTTGCACCAACTCCTGGCCCAGCACCTCCCATCACAGGACCTAATGGGGCTGTAACTGTAATTCTTATGCCTTTTCCTGACTGGAAGAGTTCCTGAGTGCGCTAGGAAGTCGGGGGACTGACTGCAGGCTGAAGAGTAAGGGCTCCCACCCAATCTGTTCCTCCTTACCCAAAGCCTTCAAGGGACAGGTGAACAGAGGTCTGCACCAGGGCTCAGCACAGGGAGAGGAGCAAGGGACAATGAGGGAGCAGAGGCTAAGACAGAGATCAGGGAAGCAGAAAACAAGAGGAATGTTCAGAGAGCACCAAAGAAGAGGTGACAGTGGAAGAGACCACAAGAGAAGGGAAGGGAGAAGTTCCAGGTTCCTGGGAAGACGGAGAAAGAGCTGTCAGGCTAGAGCTAAGGGGCTCAGATGTTCAGCCTGTAGAAGTTGGGCTCCCTCTCGGGGAAGAGTCCAGCCGCCAGGTGGCAGTGGTGCCTAGGTCACGTGTCCCAGCCTCCTGTAGTTGCCATGAGGTGCAGCAGCCCTGGGCCACTTTCTCTGCAGTGCTGGGGAGGAGGAGGTGGATTTTCTCTCTGGGTTATGACTGTGTTCCATCGCAGGTGCTTAGAGTCAGCGAATTCTGGATTTTGTTTAAAATCATCGTTTTAAACTTAAGTGAGGAGAGTCATCGGCCCCAAGAGCTTTAATCTTGCCTGTTTCCAGGGTTAGGCCTTTATGCAGTGAATTTTTTTATAAAGTTAATTGTTATTGGTATATAGTTATAATACGGGATGACTGCATTAACCCGGGGGCTGGAGTATGTGCATGCCGCAGTGCGATTCTGTTCACCCCGTCCCCTCCATCTTCCGGTCCCCTGCTCTTCTGTAGAGATGTGTGTCCTGATGTCCTATCGTCTGTCTTTTCCTTTGCTTTTTAATTTATTTGTATTTTGAGTTTTTCATATCAGCAAACCTGTATTTAAGCTTCAGAGGTAGGCAATAGGAGCAAGGTGAATTTTCAAAAAAAAGTCTCCTTTTTAGATCATGGTGGGTCATGGCTGATAGGGAGTGGCGTGCACTTTGGTCACTGTGTGTATGGACTCCCCTGCTTGTGCTTGGTGAATTAGGAGAGCCTTTCTGCCTGGGCCGGCTTCTGAGGTTGCTCCATTTAGGGTTGAGAAGGATCCTTTTATCCCATGAGGGACTTTCTCAGTTCAGTTTTATCCTGATTTAGACAAAACTACATGCACGCACACAGGCATAAAACTCCACACGCGTAGTTATTTTTGAGTTGGAATTTAAGCACTTGTGACAGTGAAACCAATAGAAGCTAAATGTCACCTCCAAGACTTGAGAACAAAGTAGTCCCAATATTTTTAAGTAACAAAGATAACAAAATGTCATAGATTTGGAATGCTAATTGCACAGTCAGGCAGCAAGAAAATTGCTAAGCTAATGTCAGTTCTGAAATTTAAGTCAATTCTTTTGGGATATTCAACTCTTTGGAATTTCATAAAAGCACTTATTCTTAAAATAAAATTTGAAATTTGAAATAAAATAAAACAGATAAGCCATTTCCTAATATAGAAAGCTACTGAATTCTAAACCTGAATTGTGACAGGTAATTTCCAAATCCCCAATGGACACTGAAATAAAATGATTTCTCTTTTCTAAAAAAGGCAAACTATTCAGCGTCTGAACATTCCCCAGTGTCTTTTACTATCTTGTATCCTGTCTTGCTCTCTTGCCTGAGCCCCCTTCCATTCTCTCATTCCTTATTTTTTCAGTCCCTTTCTCTTCTTCCTTGTCTCTCTCCTGACCTCTCAGTCTTTCTTTTCATCTTCCGTCTACTTCATCTGTCTTCCTATCTCCTTTGCCTAACCACTGCCCTTGACCATACTGGGTAATAAGTGCTTCCCTGGCAAGCACAAGGGTCTGAGTTCAATCCCTGGTTCCGCAAAAAA